CATTACATTACAACTTAGGAAATAATAAAGATATTATGAAAATCGGTTTAGTACTTTTTATGATATGGACTAAAACGTATAACTAAAACTGTAGAAATAGTTTTTGTAACTACTACTTATAACAAAAAATATTTCAGTTTTTACTTAAGACTAAAAATTACGAAATAAAAAATTAAAAAAAAAATTTAACCGACTTCAAAAAAAAAAGTAAAAAATAACTGAACATGGGTTATCATGAGTGAACAAAGCGTGGGTGATGGTTTAACAGCTTTTAACTAAGTGAAGTCGTATACAGGTGGAAATATTTACGTAAAATAACAAGTGCGTTGCTCTATACAGGACGTTGTAATTGCTAAGGGAAAAACGTTCACTTGTCTGGAACTTGATAGGGCTATTAATTATTTCCTCGTAGCGAACAATGGATGCTTGAACATCTATCATGTCATAAATTTTATTTCTGAGTCAAAAGTTTTTTAAGTCATAAATAAATTGTATTATGTTAGAAATATAAGGTTTTCATAATTTTTTAACAATCTAAGATATAGTCCAATTAAGTAATGTAAAACTTTATTCGATATTACTTTGAGTTACAATGCCCAATGCATGACAACAAAATTGTGTGTTGATAAATTAAAACATTATAAATAAAAAATTATAAAAAAAACCCTATGCAAATTAATGGTCATTTAACGATTACACTGGCACGCGTGAAGCACTTAATAGAGTACATACGGCAAAATGCTTTACATCATTTTGGAAAAGAGCTCATACTCTTACATTGCTGGACCGATATTAACCAAACATAGCTAAGGACCGCCGCAAGGAAACTGGCTTTCAAATGAAGAAAACCGCATCGAAATCGGTCCATCCGTTTGAGAGCTACGATGCCACAGGCAGACACACACACACACACAGACAGACATCAACGTCAAACTTATAACACCCCTCTGTTTGCGTCGGGGGTTAAAAATGACAGTCATTATAACAATTTTTCAAAACAAATGAGATTAATAATTACACTATGGGACTTAAACGCGTGGATTCGTATGTATATATGTACGTATATACCTTATTCCCGACGCAAACATTCTAACTGCTGAATATTTGATGCTAACTCCGGCCCGTACCGGCTTACAATATAACTTTTTAAATTTTTACATGCTTAATCCCCTTAGTGTAATCTGTATAAATATATAAATATTATAAATGTGAAAGTTTGTGAGTATGGATGTTTGTTACTCTTTCCCGCCGGAACGGCTAAACGGATCTGGATGAAATTCGGCACAGAAATATATTATAGTCTGGAATAACACATAGGCTACTTTATATCCCGCAATGTATGGTTCCCGTGGGATAGGTTTGTATTTGTTTTCCGAACTAGAAAATATAACTAGCGACTCACCCTCGCTTCGCGCGGGTGAGTCCCTAGGAAGGTTTAATTTTTTTGAGTGGAGCCCTAATTCTTTTACTAAAATATAAGTAGCCTAAATTACTCATTATAACATCAACTACCTGACAGTAAAAGTCCCGACAAAATCGGCCCAGCCGTCACGAAGATTAGCCGGAACAAACAGACAGACAATAATTAAAAAAATGTGTTTTTCTTATAAACACCGTACATAATTCCGCATGCATTTAGTAAAAAGTTGTTATTTTGACGTTACAAACAGACACTTCAATTTTATTTATCGGTATAGATTATGTATGGAACGCGAAAATTTAAAAAGTCTAATAAGATTAAAACATTTCAAATAAAAATAATAGCATACGATTTTACTTAAGAACGGGAAATATTATATTACAATTGACAAAATTAGTAAATTGTTCATAATAAAAGAGATTTTAATTATGTTTTTGGTCAAAAAATGGGAATTTTTATGTACTTTAGTTGGAAACTATATTAATAGAGATAAATGCAGCCTATAATTAAGGTAGGTAAGGTACAAGAAGTGTGTGACCCGGGATTTGGACCCACTTCACTTGGTTTCCCAAGCAAATGCGTTACCACTGGGCTCGTAGCCCAGGTTATAATAATATTGGCATATTAATATATTTTTATTTAATTTCATGTGTGATGTAAATTGTGACGTTTATGCCACACAACTTTGTTATAATTTTGTAGTTTAAAAGCTCATGTAAATTATAAAAACAAGGCTAAAAACTTTATAAGCCTATAAAGAGGTAGTTTATTAGCTATGAATATTGTTTTACAGCCCGTTTTACTCTACATTGTTAGGCAGTTGTAAAACATGCTTATCAATATATTTCATTTAACTTGTTATTCTTAGCGATGAAAAAAATCACTTGAATGTTTCTATGTATTTTTATCTACGGATATTTCCTGCAAATTTACTTGAAAATCGGTGTTATTCCTAAAAGTTTAAATTAAATAAAAAAGAATCGCCATCTACATAGATAGATATTTGTTGTTAATTCGTTACTAATTAGTTGCCATTAAATTGATTTTGTTGTTTTAATCGGTTTCAAAAAAGGCGGACTTAATATTATTTATGATTGAGTCGTATCCCATTTAATCCTTCCTTAATGGAGATTTAAAATAAACAAATTTCGATATTAAAGAGTAATTTTGGGGCGAAATGTGATATATAGATAATAATATATGAAATAAAATAAATATATATGAAAACTCGCAGTTTCTGGGTTTATACTTTTAAAACGGATACACCGATGTCAATAATTTATTTGTAATTGAAGGCCGGCTTAAAAGTAACAAGGAATTATTTTGAATTGTTTACTGTTTATGTGTTTATTGTTAAATAAATTATTATTATTATTATTAAAAGAGAATATCTAATAGCTACACGAGTAAGTAATCACATACGTTATTAACGGTCCTTCGCCTTCACCCTTTATATAAAAGAATAATTAAATCTAAATAAACACAAATTATTTTTAACTTTCCAAGGCTTTTACATGTTGCGAGCTTTTGAAAGTTTTAATTTTTTTACCCTAATATGGCAGCAATGTATTAAAAATGGGATATTTTAACGAGACTTATTTAATAAGGGCACAAAAATTTTATCTTCAAACTTCCTTTATTATTTCATTATAAAGTTGTTCAGGTCACATAAAACGCTTCGAATTTTTTGGTGGTCTCCTAATTAGAATATTAAATTCCAGAGGTGAGGGACATTTTTTATACCATAGTTTCTTTAGGCTTTAAAACTAAATTAACATAAATTTTTTCTAAGTCAAATTCTAAGATTTTTTTTGTTTATAATATGTATGTATAAATATAAATCTAGGGCTTTAAATTAATAGCTTGAAATGTTTATGATGTTGAAAAAGTATAAAGTGGAGTTACATGTGAAATAAACATTTTAATATACCTATTCTGTCACGTATTTCTGACTTATTGAAGTTCCTTTATCTGCGTTGTATTCAGCCCTTTTTATCGTTCCACTGCTGGGCACGGGCCTCCCTTCAATACGAGGGGGATCAGGCCATAGTCCACCACGCTGGCCAAGTGCGGGTTGGCGGACTTCACGTCTTTCGAAAACTTGTTAGGTTCTCTCAGACATGCAGGTTTCCTCACGATGTTTTTCCTTCACCGTAAGGCAAGTGGTAATCATGTTAGAAATGATTCGCACATGAAAATATCAGAGTTGCGAGACCCGGGATTTGAACCCGCTTCACTCAGTTTCCCAAGCAAGCGCGTTACCACTGGGCTACCACTGCCTTTTTTCTCTATTATTTTATCTGCGTTATTTTATTTCAAAAAAAAAGTAATCACCCTAAGTTTATTTTCAAACCCTGCGAACCGCATATTCATTGTCTCTCCGCATAACGTGTCCGTACCATCTTAGTCGACTTTCTGTTAATTTTTCATTTATCGGGGCTATTTTAAAGCTGCCTCTTACATATTCATTTCTGATTTTATCTAGCCTAGTTACGCCTCCTGACCATCTCAGCATTTTCATTTCATTTACGTGTAATTTATGTTCATGACTTTGTTTAACGGCCCAGCATTCAGCTCCGTATAATAAGGCAGGTCGGATTGCTGTTTTATATACTTTTCCCTTAGTTCGGATGGGCATTCGTGGGTCACATAGAATACCTGTTAAGCTTCTCCATTTTTGCCACCCCACGTCTATTCTATGGGCTACATCTGCATCGATGTTTGCATCTGCTGTCATCAATGAGCCCAAATACTTAAACTCCGAAACTTTTGGTACTGGCGATCCATCGGGGTAGTAGATGGTGGCTGGGATATAATCAGGGTCTGGATCGTATAGACATTCCATATGTTCTGTTTTAGACTTGCTGACGCGAAGACCGTACTTTTCGAGGGCTCTCGTCCATTTAGATAGTTCTTTTTGAAGTTGTGTAGGTGTGCTGGCTACAAGTGCGATGTCATCTGCATATAGTAGGCTCCATGGTAGCGGGGCTTGGATATCTTTTGTTAAATAATCCATAACCAGGTTGAAAAGTAATGGGCTTAAAGCTGATCCCTGGTGCACTCCCACTTTAACCTCAAAGCTATCGCTCAAGCCGGCCGGGCTTTTCACCTGAGTTCTGATATTTTGGTACATATCTCTGATCAAGCTAATGTAATACTCAGGTACATTTTGGGCTCTCAGCGCTTGCCACACAAGTCTCCTGGGCACTCTATCGAACGCCTTCTCTAAGTCAATGAATATAAAATGAAGGTTCTTTTTATTGATCCTATGTTTTTCCATAAGTACTCGTACTGTCTGGATTGCATCTGTTGTGGACCTGGAAGGAGTAAAGCCAAATTGGTTTGGCGATATCGTGGTTAATAGTTGGATTCTACTATTGAGTATATGCTCCCAGATTTTGAGGGTATGTGACGTTAATTTTATACCTCGATAATTCCCGCACTGTGTCACTTCGCCTTTGTTCTTGTAAAACGGTACCAGGTAGCTTTTTCTCCATGAATTTGGTATCTCTGATGTTTTTAAAATGATACTGAAAAGCTTTGTAAGCCACCCGATTCCTATTGGTCCAAGGACTTTCTACAGTTCCGCAGGTATTTCATCTGGCCCCACTGCTTTGTTGTTTTTCATTTTAGACACTGCCTTCTGCACTTCTGCGAGTGTTAGGTCTTCTATAGGACCCCGCACTGGTTCCAATGGTATAAGATGTTCACTGGGATATTCCTCATTCAGCAATGATTCGTAATACTCATACCACCGCTTGTTTATATCGGTATTTTTGGTCAAGAGGATATCATTTTTATCTTTAATATATTTATTGATTCTAACATCTAAAGTTGCATTGTGCCTTTTCTTGGCAATTTTAAATATTTCGCTGTCGGACTTGCTGTTTTCTATTTTATTGTAGAAGGTTTCTCGTGACTGTGCTCTTGCCTGGGCAACAGTGCGCTTAGCCAGTGATTTTGCTTCTTTATATCTATCTTTGTCAAAGTCGTTATTGGATTTCTGCCATTCCTTAAAAATCTGTTTCTTGTTACTTACTTTCTTCTTCACGTTTGTGTTCCACCATGTAGGGTCTTTTCCCGTGCTAACGCCACCTTTTGAGACATCCAAAGAGCTTGTTGCTTGGGCTTTACAAAAGATTTCGAATTTTTCCCATATAGTATTTGATGTCTCATAGTATTCTTCTATATCCTCCATTAAGTAATTGCGAATTGCTGTAACAAAAGATTCTCCCTTCTGGCTATTTAATTCTTTCCATTTAATTTTTGCTGTTTTATCTACTGTTGTTTTAATGGGTTTGGGTAATCTGAATGATGCAACAAGGATTCGGTGCTGAGTAGTCAAAGGTTCACCAGGGATTACTTTACAATCTTTAAATTGGCGTTTCAATTTTCTATCTGCAATAATAAAATCTATTTGTGTGGCCTTCTCTCCACTTTTATAAGTAATGATATGTTCTGGTTTCTTTTTAAAACAGGTATTTACTAAAACTACACTAGCGGCACGCTATGATGGCCGGTTTGACGTTTGTCCGCTCATGAAGTTCCGTATTAATTGATAACGACTTTGAAGGAAATAATTGTATTACTTTATTGACGATAGTGATGTGCAGAGATTCATAAATTTTATCGAATGTAGTTTTAGGTTTAGGACTCAAAATTTATTTATTAAATTGATTTCTTAAATGTATACAAGTGTAGAAAAATCAGTTTGCACCATTTAAGGGGTGAATGTACTTGTGAATATGAACAATTTTCACTATGTGGACAAACCTCTGAAATCGCAAAAAAATATCAATAAATTTTTAAAAATGGAATCTAATACGATCGTCACATAGGATCGCTGGCTAGCACAACTACTACCTCCGGCAAACTCGCGTCAATGCTCAATGCAAAACAAAGCAGTTTCGAATTGACGTTGCTTCGAAAAGTATAAACTGTCAGTGCAATGCGATTGTGATATAGTTTTGACCTGGCTTTGGATTTCAAATATTGATACTGCATTACTGTTGACCCTTGCTCGTTAATTTGGACTCTGTTCAAGCCCTTTGTTGTGGATTTCGTCGATATGACCGAACGTACGCAGAGAACTGTTCTAAATAGTCAGACACGTGAGTTCGTAATACGCCTTCGTAACTATTTCGATCGTGAAGCTCAAAATGGAGGGCCAATTTTACCTATAACGTCAGTGGTTGAACGCGTAGCTGATGCGCTTAATATTGGACAACGAACTGTTAGACGGATAACTAAAAAAAAATATGGCGAGACTGGCACAGAAGAAAATAAACTTCACACACCAAAAAAGAGAAAACGAGCAAAACCAGTCGTAGGCATCGATAGCTTTGATGCCGATGCTATCCGAAGACATGTTTACGGCTACTATTTACAGAAGGAGTATCCAACAAGAAAAAAGTTGGTGCATTCACTGAAGGAAGCTGGATTATTCTTCGGTGGGGAAAGTTCTTTAACGAAGATTTTGAAGACCATTGGATTTCGATACAAAAAATGTAACAAACGCAAAATATTGATGGAAAGATTTGATATAGCGATGGCAAGGTATACTTTTTTACGGCAAGTGAAAGAAATCAAAAATTGGCAAAATGTTGTGTTCTTGGATGAAACATGGCTTAATGCTAACCATACTGTAGGCCGTTCTTGGAACGATGACACAGCAGCATCTACTTCCAAAGTTCCTGTAGGAAAAGGATCGCGACTTATAATTTGTCACGCCGGAACCATCAACGGGTTTGTCGAAGGTTCTCTCATGGCTTTTGCGTCAAAAACCACTGGAGACTATCATGAAGACATGAATGGAGAAAAGTTTACTGAATGGTTTACCTCAATGTTGTGTAGCCTCCCTGAACCATCTATTATAATTATGGACAACGCCCCATACCACTCGATGCAAATTGACAAGCCACCTGCCCAATCCCAAAAGAAAGCTGATATCGTCGCATGGCTTCGTAAAAATGGCGTAGATGCAAACATGAATATGTTAAAAGCGGAATTAGTACGTCTTTTAAAAGAAAACAAACCAACCAAGATCCGATACGTCATTGACGAAATAGCATTAGAACATGGGCACAGAGTTATACGGTTACCGCCTTACCATTGTGAGTATAATGCGATTGAGTTGGTGTGGGCTCAAATTAAGGGATATGCTGCAAGACACAATACAGAACCCCCATTTACCACAAAAAAAATGCTAAAATTATTAGAAGAAGCTTGTGAACATGTGACTAAAGGAGACTGGGAAAAGGTTGTGAATAGAACTGTTAAATTAATAAGGGAAGATTATGAAAGAGATGTGAAAATAGATAATATTATAGAAAACGAACATATAATTATTAATGTATGTGATGATAGCAGTGACGACAGTGAAAATAGTAGTATGGACGAATCTGATTAATTATGGCCTTTTGTGGCACCTTTTTTGGTATCTTTTGTATTCATATGTTTCTTGTGTGCATATAAAGTATGTATATTCATTTTCGTTCAAATATTCAGTTCGTTCAAATAAATTAAATAAACATATACATTTTTGTTTTATTAAACCTATTTAATCAGGTACAAAAACAAAACTTAATTGTTTTTTGTTCGAGAATAAATTGACATTCCACATCACTATTGCAATGTGTCAAACCGGCCATCATAGCGTGCCGCTAGTATAAATCATGTCTAACAGCATATTCCAATATGGTCGTCCCTTCTTTATTTAGGTTTCCATAAGCGTATCCCCCATGGACATTGTTAAATGTCATGTTATGATTTGATTTTCCAACATGACCGTTTAAATCTCCACAGATAATTCTGTGTTCATTTTAGGGTATTTCTTGAGTAAGTTCATCTAAATCTTCCCAGAACGACTCCTTTTCACTTTCAGAGCAGCCCGCTTGGGGTGCATATGCTGATATTATGTTCACAATTGGTTGATTATCTAAAGCAAGTTTAATCGACATAAGACGATCCGTTCGTCTATCAATATTTATTATGCGATTTTTCAGGTCTTTATCCAAGACAATGCCTATGCCGTTCTGGTTGTTCATAGTACCATAGTAGACAAGTTTGTACCCCAGTCCTAGGTCTCTGGATTTTGAACCTTTCCACTTGGTCTCCTGTAGGCAGCAAATATTGACACGTCTCCGATGGAGAGTCTCTGCCAGTTCTTGTGATCGACCAGTGAGTGATCCCAGATTCCACGTTCCTATGCGTAGTTGTAGCGAAAGCTTGTTCTTGTCATGTACGTCGCTTTTGGGGAACGCCCTAGCATTATTCGCATCTTTCGCATTCAAAGCATTCGCGTCGCTTTTGGGGTACGCCCTAGCATTTATACTATCATCTATTTTGTGTCTGGCCATGTTTAATTAGGAGATTGGTTTAAATTTGGCTATTGTTTTTACGGCCGGTTGCCACCTGACGCCAAGACTGTCGCCTTCCTTAGGACGTGAGCGCCGCCGTTGGCCCCGGAGGGTTCATCTGCCGCCATCTCTTCTGTATGCCCCAGCCGAGACATACAGCACTGTCCACGACCTCTACTCCGAATATGTCGGAGAAGCCCATGTACAGGGGTTTGATTTCGGAGTGTCCTTCTCCGGCCTTGTGGTCCGCGGGAGGTATTTGATTTCCCTCCAACCCTATGGAGGTCTGACCCTCCATCGAGCACTCCCCTATCCGCCACCCGGGGACGCGTCCTCTAGGGAATCAGGCTACCCCGAGGAAATAAATTAAATGTATCAACTACATAATATTATATCCTGTAGCTAACAGCAATGCTTGTCAAAAAAGTATTTAATACTAGCGGCTCACCCTCGTTTCGCTCGGGTATGCCTCTAGACAAATAAAGACAAATCCATCCCACGGGAATCGTACATTTTTCCGGGATAAAACAGACAGACAAACAGATAGAGAAACAAAAAAATTGAAAAACAAAACTGGGTTTGTTCTATTTCTCTTCTTACGTCCCCCTGACTCGGTTTTTAGCATTTTTTTTCTATGGGCAGACATTCGACCTCTACAGTTTTATTATATTTATAAATTATACTCATAAAACTTGTTTCTCAATTTAGTTTAGAAAATACAATAATCAATTCAAATTGTATAAAAATATTTTTTTCTATTACTACGATATAGTTGTAGTTTTAAAGTAAAGTAATAAATGTAGTTTTAAAGAAAGTAAAAATAAAGTTGCCCTGCTACGTGTTGTGTATAAGAATGTATCTTACAGTAAACAAGACTATCAAAAACATCAAGAATCCCATAACATAGCATTAAATCTCACGAGATTCATTCCATTACTTCGTACACTTTGTTCAGGTTTATTTATTACTCTACTATTATGTACTGTGAAAGTTTGTATGTATGTTACTCATACACGCTGAAAACTATAAACAGATTTGGATGAAACTTAGTACAGAGATAGTCTATAATCTAGAGAAAAATAAGTTATAATTACAAATAAAATTTGCCAAAAGGTAAAAAAATCTAAATTTCAGACTGAAAGAAATGAAATATGATAGAGAGCACTATGCTGCAGCTATGGACGGTTAAAATGGTGGCATACATCGATCATAAAAGTACTACATACACAATTCACGACAAAAAATGTCCTCACCAAATAAGCGCTCATTTGAACATTTGAGCGCGCTTTTATTTTGTTTTGTGAAAACAACTTTAAGCATTTTATTTAAGGTTCAATTTAAATTATTGTATATACTAATTAGCTATATAATATATATTTGTATGAATTTAGAACATTTGATACGAATGCCTTTGTTATTTCCGCAAAATAAGGTCAACGTAGTTGTTTATTTTGCTAGTTTCTTATACCTTATAAATTTCCGTCGTTATTATTCCACGTTTTATTTGATCTGTCTTTATTTTCTCACTTTGTCTATACAAAGAAGTTATCTCTTTTAAGAAATTATTCTATCTTTTTAGTTTTTCTTACTGGTTTGTTAGAGTTTCCATCAATAAATGGTAAATTAATCTATACCAATATATTTACTGTACGAATAATTCTGAAGAGCATGTATTATTAACTAGCGTTTTTCCGTACGCGTAGTTGAATTATTTATTATAGGTATATAGCGACTCATCTTCGCTTTGCTTCGGGTTCGTTCTCAGACAAAAACAAATCTATCCTTCGGGAACCGTACATTTTTCCGGAATAAAAAGTAACCTATGTGCTATTCCAGACTATAATTTATCTCTGTGCCAAATTTCATCCAGATCCGTTTAGCTGTTCTGGCGTAAAATAGTAACAAACATTCATCCATACAAACTTTCACATTTATAATATTAGTATGGATGTGTTATTCTGACGTATAATCTATGTTACTGTAAAGTTTTATCAAAATCTATTCAGTATTTTTTCGTTAAAGAGTAATTTCTGTCTATCCCTGCCTTTAAAGTTTCATGTTTATAATATTAGTAAAACAGACCTATCAGAACAGATTTGAAATTTCATGGCCTGTTTAATAAAACTAGTGGTTATCCAGTGGTTGAAATTCGACGATAATCGTCATTGAAAATTGGACGAAAACATATTATATGAATAGAATTTACCTATCTACTTATATAGAAAAAACAATGATATCAAACTGTCACCAAGTTGTTTTTGATGACACTAAAGTGCGTCGTAAGTAGAAAATGGTGTCAACTGTTTCGATAAATCGACCAATTTCAATCACTTACTTGACTAAGATCATTTCTCCTGCAAAGTACTTGTACAAGAGAGTACTTATTTTTTACTATAATACAATATTTTATACGCTTAATAATTATAAAGCTTTGTTTAACATAAAACTGGAAAATGCCGATTGACAGAAGCGCTTCATAAATAGGATTAAGTCAGCATTTTTGATTAAAACTGGCTTGGCGAGATTTGCATTTTATGCCTTAATTTACTTTGCTGGTGTTTGATAAATATAATAAGAGTTAAGTGGGCAATTGCTTTTAATTCAAGTAGTAATTATAATTTGTATCATATAATTTTAAATAAAAAACACGCAGCCACTTTAATTTTATTTATAACTAGCCTTCGTCCACAGTTTTGCCCGCATAAATCAAGAACCCGTTTTTAATATACTATACACATATGTACGTACCTACACATATATAATTATATAGGTATATTTTCATTATGATCGTCTGAACGGTGCAGAAGTTGATGTACTGCAGCATAATTTAGTGCTATCTAGTTCTAATATAAATTGTAAAACAATGTACGTGTAGGCTTATTTGAATAAAAATATAGGTACACATTCTAGATAACGGGCGGTATATCAATCCGCCTGTCATTCTCTATCTGGCGGGCGGCACCCACACTGCTTCAATCGACTACTTGCCAGGATTACTATATTTATAGTGTTATACGACTGAAGTAAAATATAATAAGGTTAGAAAAATAATTAATCGTATGACAGTAAGATTGTTATTAATATCTTTTAATGAGGTCACTGGTTCGAATATTTATATTATATAGTGCATCACAATCGCTTCGCTCGGGTTCGTCTCTCGCTCTGTGATAAACAAAAATAAATCTATCCCACGATAACCGTACATTTTTCAGGGATAAAAAGTAACCTAGTGCTATTTCAGATTATAATCTTGTGCCAAATTTTATCCCGATCCGTTCAGCCGTTTTGGCGTGATTAAGTAACAAACATCCATCCATCCAAACTTTCGCATTTATATTAGTAGTGAAATAAAAATAAAACCAACGAATATAATAGGAAAAGTATCAAAATTCAAAACTCTTTTTACAAAACGCCTTATTTTTAATTGGAAAATTAGTATTTTTTTCCTCTTTATCCCTTATCCTTAAGGAAATACGACAAAAGTCTATACTGGTACAAAAGATATGTTTTACTGGTAATAAATTACTTTACTATCGTGACATAAGTAGTAGATTACTATTGTACATTGCACATGCTTGTCTCTTTTCTAATAATTCATTAGCTTTTAAAAGTGCAATCTTTAAGCTTACAGGCTAATTTTAGATCAGATCTAAAATATGACCGCAAGCTTTAGAAGGAGCATTAAAACTATGTAATGATTTCGATCATATTAGACATATTGACGCAAGATTCTTCACTTAATTATCTAGTGGAAGAGCTTTTTGGTTTGTTGCCAAAGCAGTTGAGGCTTATTTCTATCTGCTATATTTTATACATATGCTACTAGCATCAGAATTGCTATGTCATGTTCATGAAAGGCAATTTTTTTTCATATATGTTATTCCAATTTGAGAATACAGTCAATAAACTCTTAGATAAGAATCACTATTATTCAAATAATCTACACGTGAGAGTAAGCTAGACTAGATCGAAGGATACATTTTTGTTCATGATGTGCTCTCTATTTACGCAATTGTGTCACGCTTCACCTTACTTACATAGTGTCAGTATCTTGTAGTCAAATGCTATCTGAATTTTAGTTTGTTTGTTTATATTGGATGTATATGTAACACTGGGAAACTTTTGTTAGTATGGAGTACAGCTGAAACATTAATGTTAATACATAATATTCCTATATAGGTAATATTACATATAATATGGTAATATTACCATGTATTACCTATTTGAGAATACATATTTTAGCTTCTCGCCATGTTTGGTATCACATTACGACGAATATAGAATGAAAGGCTAATAATATAATAATGTAACAATTTAAAGATTTACAATGTATTATTCTTATGTATAAGGATAAATGTTTAAAATAACATCTACCGATAATTCCAACCAAAACAAAATAATAAAATTTAATAGGAATTGCATAGGTTAGAAATTAAAAAAGTAACTAATTAAAACAAACTGCATTTCAGAAATAAACTTAGATTGATATCTATTAATTCTTCTACTATAATCCATAGAATTAATTTTATGGGAGTATTTATTGCACGAACTTGAACGTCACGTCAATGTTATAAATGCGAAAGTTTGTGTGGATGTATGTATGTCTGGATGTATAGATGTATGGATGTTTGTTACCCTTTCACGCAAAAACTACTTAATAGATTTTAATAAAACTTTGTACAGTAATATAGCTCGTACATTAGAATAACACATAGGCTACTTTTTGGTCCCGGAAAAATTTACGGTTCCCGTGGGATAGATTTGTTTTAGTAGATGATGTTCTTCTGACCGATTCCGGCCACGGCGGCCAATCTCATTGAGACGAGCCAACTGCGACGAGCGAGCGAGCCAACCAAATTATAGTGCACAAGTGTACGCGCAGACACAAGTGCACTCTCTATTCCTGTCACACTCATACTCCGGTGGGACGTCCACTCGACACGACCGGTGAGGTTAAGGCACAGGACCGACAGCTTTACGTGCTCTCCGAGGCAGGGGGGTGAATCACCGCCAACTTCTCAACTCCGGGCTTGTTACTGAGGCTTACTATATAGAAAGACTCAATAATTAAACTTGGCCCGACCCGGGACTCGAACCCAGGACCTCCGGGTGTGCAGTCGTACATGCTAGTCACTAAATCACCGATGCAGTGTTTTAGTAGATTGATTATATTAAACTAGCAATTCGTGTATCTTATCTTGATTTGGTTTAACTCAGAAAAAGCTCTTAACGATTTGGATCAAATTTTGTATTTAGATAAGCTTTTGTTTTTTAAGCTTATCTATAAAGTTGTTTTTT